CACAAATCCACGCTCCACTCGCGCTCTGTTTTCCTTTCCCTCCCTCTTCTTTTCCCTTGGTCGCGCTTCAACACCTTTCCCCCGTTCCTCTGTCGAGTTTTGTACTACATTGGGAACGAGTCTCTTTATCTTCCTTTCTTTCTCTGCTCCCCCACGCGTGGCGGTTCTCCCTGTCCCACCGTCAACCCAGAGGCTGCCTTCTTCCTCGTCTCCACCCTCGTTTCACTTCCACGGAAGGGGGGGGGGGGCGAACCGAACCTCTCGCTCCTGCGAACGGCACAGAAGTTTCCAACTGCTCCAGCGACAGCCAAATAAATGTCTCTCCTACTCCTTGCTCCGACACTTCTCTCCGCTACACTCGGCTAATTCGGCACGCGTACACGGTAAAACTTCGTAGCCCCCGCTGGGGAATGTTTGGAGATTGAACAATTGGTTTGGATTTTATTTCCGTTTCTCTTTTGGCCTCGCCCGTTCGTCGCTCCCGCGGGCGACCCTCTCGGCGGGTATCAAAGGCGGCGCTTAACGGAGCTCGCCGTGTCCCGGTTTTGGATGATTGGAATTTTCTCAGTGGTGTCTCTGAAACTGGAGCTTTGTTTGTGTGTATGGGTTTGGACTCTATTTTTCGGGTGGATTTTTGAGGATGATGTGGTTTGGAATGTCGCAAGTAACGACGACATTTAAGGTGGCTTAACGCGAGATTTCATTTTGTTAAAAGGATGCAGTAAACGTTGATATTTTGAATTGTATAGATAGTTCGTGGCGATTTTTAAGAAAATTGCAAAGGCACATTTGAAAGGTACAATCAAAATTCAAAAAGCCCTTATGAATTATAAATTCAATATATTTATATATAAATTCAAATGTGACTTTGAATTTTTCTTAAAAATTGGCACGAAGTATATATATAATTTATATGTGTATTTACTGAATTACAGTCAGTCCCATAAGTATTCGTATATGTCCATATTCGTCTATGTTTATCGAAGAATTTGTGTAAATGGAATTACAGGTTTGATGTTTCCAAACAAATGTTCCATTATAAATACGTACACTAGTAAATTTTCCACATGTATGTATTTAGAAGACATTATTTATTTGGAAACACGAAACCTCTCATCTAATTTAGACAAATTTCTTCTATCGACGTAAAGGGTATGAATTCTTATGAGGTACCATTTTGTTCCACAACCCTTCCATGTTTTAAGGGATGTACAGCAAAGTCTCCTTAAATGCACAAGCTCGGGAGTGAACTTGTGCGTTTATCGTAGAGTTTGTACATGTTCTGATGATGAGTTTCGAATGTAAAGAAGGATAGCAAAGAAAGAAGAAGACGAGCGAAAACACTAGAGTATGTTGATGAGTTTTATCGATTGGATAAGTGCAAGATGACTCTCGCCACCACGTAATATGATCTTAACTGATTGATACGCTTCTGCCGACTGCTTTTTTTCCTCGGACCTCTTTCTCTTTCATTCTCTGTCCTTTTCTACGTTCGGCACTCGACTCAAGCCAAATTAAAATAAACACAGAATAGAAACCTCAACTGTTTTGGGTCCCGATTTCCTTGCACTTATTCAGCCTTTAGTGTATCTGATTTCAGATCGTGCTACACTACTCGGCGATCGAATTCCTGCACCCCTCAATGGGTATACCAGTGCTAGGGATGGTTTCTGTGCATTTAAGGAGACTTTACTGTCTCCATGTTATTTCTTTTCAACCATTTCGATATATTCAGACAGTCAGAACATTTGAATGAAAATGTTACGGAAAGCAGTTGAAATCGCATTCTCTAAGACACAGAATGAAAAGTGCATTTATCAGGAAAAACTGCTCAAATTCTATTTAGTTATCCAGCCTTTGCAAGGTAGTGGCTTGTAAAAATGAGTACGGGAACAGTCCAACCGCCCCAGTGTGCGAAACGTCCCTTTTTCCAGCGTGTAACGCATCCTTTTTGGAAACCCTTGACCAAATAGGTTCGACCAATCGATTCCTGGCTCGGACGGTGTACGGCCGGTGAAAATCATCGGTGCAAGTTGTTTCCGTTACACAGTGGTCAACCGAGGGCAAGTGTCTCGGGGCGGCGGATATAGCAATCGCGGAGTGTTTTTCGCGTTGTTATATTTCGGGGGCGGCCGAGCCGATCACGCACGCGACAGAGAAGAGCGTATCGAAGGGAAGAAGAGGGCAGGAGGCGGTTTCGTCCGCGCGTATGTGCGGCTGCCAGGCCATTTGCCTCTGCGGTCTCTTGATTCCTAGCGACTAAATTTTCATCTGTACTCATTCAAGTTTTAATGTGTTTTTGCGGCATCAGTCATTCAAACTTAATCAACAACCAGTTACGCGCCTGGCTCAGCGCGCGAGCGCTCGCTCGTGCCCGTGGCTTGCACGTATCCGCTTCCATTCGTCCTGGTCGGGGGCGAGAGCGTGTGTGGGCGCGACGGAATATTGGCCGGGCGCTCTGTGACGAGAGCGTATTAATTATAACTCTGGTCAGAGGAACGTCAAGAGATGCTTTTGCAGATACCTACGATAAATTGTCGGTTTACCAGCAAATCTCATTTCCAAACCCCACCATTTTTCCGCTCGTTTGTCCACGCCCATCGGCAGAGAACAACGCTACGCCGCGCTCGGCTAGCACCGCGGTATTCCCTTTCCTTTCTCCGTTTATATACAGGTGTACACGTCCGACACCGGTGCGCGACTGTCGCGTGCACAAGAGTGCAATGACAGCGAAAGGGAGAACGCTTTTATCCAATAATAGGAATGTCGACATCGGCTATCTTGTCGGCGTTAACAGCTCTTCCCTCGTCAGCTGGACCGGAACCGCCGACCGCGGTGCCCTAATGGCGTCGCTAAATTGCCTGGCTTTTTAAAGAAATTACGCCTGGGTACTGGAGCTGTGTTAAATTGGCCAAAAATTTCGTTCTGTTTGTCCCGACAGTTCTCTTTCTGCTGTTGGACTTTTACTAGAAGACAGGGGAAGATGGTGGATGAATTGGACCTAAATATTGCATTTAATACTGCATTAAATTATATTTAAAAAGAGTAGTACATTTGCCTAGAAGATAAGGGAAGATGGTGGATGAATTGGATGTAAATGTTGCATTGAATACTGCATTTAATTATATTTAAAAGGAGTAATACATTTTCGTAGAAAATAGGGGAAGATGGTGGATTCATTGGATTTAAATATTGCATTTAATCTAATAACAAAAATGAATCTCATTTCATTTTAAGTTCTTGCAGAGCCAGTTCTTAGAAGTGCAGGGCAATAAGACTGCTAACCGTGTCGAAATTTGAGTTTGCAGTAGGAACAAAACCTCGACCTGGCTCTCTAAGCCCTCTTAGTTTAAAGTACAGAATATTTAATCAACAACTGTACAATTTTATTATACGATATTTTATTATACAACGAATATCTCCTTGCCGAAGAAAATTCGCTGTTTATTTATGCGTTAAAACTTTTGGCTAACCTAATATTATATAGGACATTGGAGATACCAGGAATTGTTGAGAGACTTGAGGTTTGACGACAGGTGAGTACTTCCATTTTGTCGGCTTGAAAGGTAGAATACACTTGGAGGATACAGAAGTGAAAGATATAGGACAACACTCGTGACATCCATTAATTATGATAAAAATCCAGGATGCTTAAGTCTCTTCTGTGGATTTTGTAGGCTTTTTACTACACATAAATTAATTGGAAACTTCTATTAAAAAAGTAGCTTCTTTGATCCATCATAAAAGAATAACAAATTAAAAAGTACTGAGGTTTGGTTCAACTACAGAATCTATACCAAGCGTTCCTTTCATATTCTTGTTATGCTGAATTCCCCGCCTTTCTCTCAAAACCGAAGTAAAAGTAACCAACGCAACTTCCATCCGCCATATTGGCCCCCGGTTCCGTGTACGCCTTCCCCCCAACAATTTCTCACGACAACTCAAACACTTTCTTCCCCCCGTTCTCATCGATTCCACCTTAATTGGACGACTCCACGTCAAACTCCGGCGAGTCGGTCGTACGTCCGAGCACATCAACGTTTCCCTCGCGGATCGGTAACGGAGTCGCATCCAAATTAGGCTGAAGTTAGACCGAACGATCCATCTTCGACGCGGTGCCACGATTGTTATAAAACAATCGAGCAGCGAGATTATCGCAACTGGTAGCCTCGTAAATATTTCAGGATCGATCGGAAATCGCGAATCCAGTCGGCCGAGCGATCGAGGATGGAATGGGAATGGGCGTCCATCAGCGATGGGAATAGTAAAAGGGTGGCGCAAGTGCAACGGAAAAGGCATCGGGCGCCCGGAGCCCAGCGAGATGATCGTTTCCGTAATAAAAATCGTCAACCAGATCGTAGCTCACGTACCGATACGGGTCTGCGCCACTCCCTGTCGGCCAATCAGGGCCTCCCGTCGGCTTAATGTATTCAAATGTAAGCGGTAGCAGTGTTTATGTCTTGACATTGCAAATTGTGCCGGCTAGGCCATAACTTATAGTAATTGCCCCGCGCCGGAGTAATTATTTATACACGTGATATAGCGTATAGAGGCACCACTCGCGGTTATTCAGCGCGTGTATCCGTATCTCGCTCGCTATAATTGTAAGCGGCGAATATCGAAAACGGCCTCATTGGGCCGCGATATTAATCTCGGTCGTAGAGCGCGGTCGAATCGGCGACTTCGATGCCTCGCGCAAGACACAAGACGGTGCCGCGCAAGGAAAAACTGCGTCGGCAGAGAAACGAACGAAATTTCTCTGTCGTTTTCTGCGGTAGTCGTTCGTTTACCTGTTTGGGATTAAATTAAAAATGCGAACAAGTTAGACAGCAGCGGAAGAAATAATTTAAGTTTGGAATGTGGTTTTAGGAAGAGTGTTACACGGAGACATGGCAGAGTAAATTCCTCAGCTTTAAACGGTGGAATGTACAATGGAAAGTTGGATGTTTATTTATTCATTTGGAATAATGATGTTTTTGAAAGGCAGAACAGAAATTAAATCTTTAGGAATAGAAAGGAAATCGAAATTAAAACGAAATCACTGAGAAAATGTTTTAACCCATTCCTTATCAACTACGAGATATCTCGTAGTTCGAATTTATTGCAATTACTCGAAGTATAAATTTACATTCTTTCTTTTTAAAACAATGAATTTAATATCACTTTTTATTATCAAAATGATAACCTAGATTACATATCTGTATTAAATCTTGGCGTCCAAAACAAAACCTTCAAAATTTGTCCAGCAGTGAATGGGTTAACCAGCCAAAACAGTTGAAATTATTATGAACAAAATTTGTCTTAAATGTTCTCTCAAATATTGCAACGTTTCAGCCCTTAGAAGACCTCGTCAGATGATTTAAACTGTGATTGATTCCATTAGGAAAAATATTTTGTAATATAATAAATGAAAGTACATTGATTGATGTAAACGAAGCTTCATACAATTAAATTATGTAAGTAATAACTTGGACTACACATAGACTACAATATAATGAAAGGAAGTTAGATCTTTACTTCGGCGAAACCCATTAGAGATTCGATCACTTGACGACAATTAACTGTTAAATATGTACATTTCATTTATCGAAAAAGAAGGATCAGAAAATATATTCGAAAGTCATTTAATTGAAGAATGCCAAGGAATGCAGCACGATCGAGTAGAATTCAAACTTTTAAATAATATGCAGACGATTCTCAACAATAGAAACGAATTTCTCAAACTAGTAGATATATTAACGAAATATGTAATAATGAATAAATTGCAATTGAATTGTAAATATTAACGTGGTTACTAATAACCATGGAGTTGATGTGACCTTAAACAAAGTAATTAAAAAAAAATATATATATATTCGAAAGAGTTAGTTAAGGTTCATTGCCAAATTCCACAATTTCATTCAATGAAGTGCCATTTGCATTAAGAATTTAGCTCCTGTACTACTTTAACCACTTCCAACAAAATAAAATGAAAAACTTACCTATACCATTCTCAAATAACTCATACTTACATACTCTTCCATCGTCATCAATAATTTCCTCACTAAATTCTATCCTTACCCAAAGTTCGAACGAACAATAATCAGAACTAAAACACAAACGAGAGTAATCCTAAAGTCACACTGGCAGTTTCTGAAAACTTTAGAGTAGACGGGAATTCTCGCTGCCCGTCGCTACCATGCCGCCATCTCGCACGGCGCATGGGAACTAGCGCTCGTAAAAAAAATTGCGTCAGCTTTTTCTCAAACATGGCTACTTTTTCCCCAAACAAATCGACCAGAAAAAGAATACTCTTTGGAATTAACAAGCGCCGGAGGCTAGGAAATGCGTAAACTATACGCGCACGTGTTGCTCCATCCACCCGCCTCTCGATGGAATTACGGTCTTCCTTTTCGCGCCATAAATCAATATCGAAATTAAGAATTTCGGCAACCGGTGGCCAAGACGAGTGCTCCACAGACGGCTAAGGGCATCGAACGAATTTCACGGCGTCTGTCGATAAATCAGTTTAAGCAGTCGGCCGATGAGAAAGGGGGTGGTTTTGCGGTGTAACAGGTGGTTGAAATTCTCATTCGCCGCGTCTTTTTACTCCTTTATCGGCAAAAAGGGAAAGAATAAGTTCCAGTTTATGAATCGGAGCGCGTTTAACGCTTCTTAAAAGGATAAAGCCGCCCCGACGACTTTTTTTTTTCTACCGGCGAAATTGCTGAGCCTTTTACGAGACCGCGGGACGTGTCAATAGAGGCCACGGATTCGGACTTTTTTCATAGGAGACGTTCGCGATTCGTCGCGTCGGAGACGATGCCAATTAATCGAAGAGGATTCGTCGTTATCGTTTCATTTTTATTTGGACGCTTGACCGTTATCACAAACTGGCGATAGTATCTTAGCCTACGACGACCGCGCTCGGTCGTTTGACAAAAAACGATTCTTAATGAAAGGTAAAAATTAAATAAGGTCGGGCGGTTATTTACAAGATTATTCACAGGAAACTAATCGTACAAAATATCGTTAAAGCTTGTAAGTCTTCAAATGCTAGGATACAGAGTTGTGCGCGTTCCCATTCCGTGGTTTATCCGCTTAACTGCCTAATGCCTTCTCGTTCGAATTTTCCACACCTTGCTCATAGCCCATCCTGAACTCTAATGCTACTTAACTTACTGAACCTACTTAGTCGAGACCTACTTCGATAATAAATACAACTTATCGTTAGACACATGCGTCGGGAGAAAAACCAACTATGGTCGTCAATAACCAATAAAAGTGAACTATTCCCTTCCCTAAGGCACTATCTCGTTCGGTACAAAGAGGACGCAAGACAATCGACCGTTGGGCACCGATCTCGTTGATAAAACATCTTAGAATCTATATCTCGTGGTCAATACCATCCGTATTCATGAATACTTATTTGTACTAAGCAATCTAGGACAATCCTCCGGAGCATCGTCTTAAACTTAAACAAAACAGTCGGCAAGTTTCTCCTTGAATCACCACGGTCGCCACATATCGCCGTTCGCGCCCGAAGGGCCGGCCACGGCTGCTAGTTTCGTAGGATTAGGATTAGAATTTCTATTAGCCGAGCAAGTCGCCCTACCCGACAAATCCTCTACCGAAACCGCTTGATCTTCGTCGGACTTCGCCGCGCCGTTGGAAGAATCCATGGGAACCGTGGAGGTGATCGATTCCTGATACCTGGGTCTTTTATCGGAGATGGCCAGAAGTCCGCTGGAATGATGCCTCTTCAAGGTCTCCCTTCTGGCGGGCAGCGAACCGCTGCGATTGTAAGCCTTATCCGTGATAACCGAGAGCGGTTGTCGCAAATTCGGCGCCATTCCATTGCTGTTCGGCAACTCAGAGGAATCAGCGGACACCTTCTTAGGTATATTACTCCCGTCCGGTTTGGAGTCTATGAAAATCTGTACCGGTGACTTGCTGTCGCTGGTGGAGCTGATCTGTGGCTTCTGTGTCTCCGGAGACGAGGAGAAGCTCTTGGAGGAAGCCGGGCTCTGCTCCGGAGCTTTGAACCAACGCTGCTGATGGGTCGGTGAAGGAGCCTGAGGATAGTTCTCCGACTGGTGGCTTTCTTCGCCGAAGCTGGAAGTGGACGTGGTGGGGCTCAACAGTGGACTCTGTGGCCTGTGGACGGCGGTGAAGGCCGAAGATCGACCGATCTTGGAGTCGGGGGCGGGTGGAAAGAACGGGAAGTTCGCGGAGATGGCCGCCGATTGGGGCACCAACAGAGCCAGCTCTCCTGTTGGAAGTCGGCTGGGTATCAACTGAACCCCGTTCGGTATCTGGATCCTGGCACTTCCATTATTATTCTCGTCGCCATTCTGGAAATCGCTCTGGAAACCGACCTTCACCTCCGGGTAGAGGCGTTCCGGCATGTAGGGCACGTAGTGGCTGTAGAACGGCGCCATTTGCTGGAGATTGCTGACGCAATTGTTCAAGTGTGATACCAGTCGTTGCTTCACAACAGGGTCAACGTTCTCGAGGTGGCTGACGTACCGCGATACTTCGGTAGCACATTCAGAAAATCCAGTGCGGAATTTCGTTAACACCGCCGGATCGGTAGCGACCGCAGTGCTTAATTGCTGACGCTGCACGGCCTGTAAATGCTTCACCGTCATCTCGAGGATATCGGCCTTCTCGAGCTTCGAATGCCTGGTTGGCTGAAACAAAAAACAGAGGCGTTGGTCATTCGCTGTTCGAGTACAGAATATTATTTCTTATTCTAATTTCGATACTTCGATTTGGAATTTTAATTGTCGACGATCATTTTTTCATTCAGAAACTGTATGACCTTGGGTAGGAATGACCGCAGTTGGTAATGCAGGAAACTCTTGGGAGCCATAGATGGTAAGATGGATGTCTACTTTATCGATCCTTGATCGGAAAGAGAACGCTTTGTAAAGATGGAAAGGTAGTTTCCAGCTTGATCGATAGTCGGTAATCGTGTCCCGAGGGTACGTGAGCAAACACGAATACCGATCGCTCATTCGAGAAATCTGTGACACCTCGGTAACGCCCACGTAATTGCCTCGATACGACCAGTTTCCTTAATAATAGAGTGGCAACCACGGTAGCCTAGTAGCTGCTGAGCAATTTACCAGTCAGCCTGGGGCTACAAGTGTCACGTTCTCGAGAAACTGTTTTATCCACTTTCACATGCAATTATAACGAGACTTTTTTCAGTAGATTGTTTCATTAAAATAATCAAACAAAAATTTAAGAGGTTCTGAGAATGGACTGTGGATATTTATGCACTTATGGCAAGCTGAAATATTAAAGTATATACGAACTGGGAGAATCAAGAGTATATAAAATATCGATAATAATAAAGGAAGTATAGAAAGGATAATTTCTTTAATTCAAATTGGCTGTGCTTTACTAGCTCAACGCGCCTTGTAATGGATATATTGATGCTTAACGAGAGAGATACAAAAATATAGAGAAATGATGCAAGAGAGCAAAGATTCAAGTGGTAAATAATTAGTGATAAATAAAATAATGGATTTAAGAGTAGTTAAGGAGAATAGACTTTAATTGTCGTTTCTCTTTCTTTTAGATAATTAACAAATCATTTTGTATATTTGTAAATATTGTACATATCGTATGTAAAATATAATATCTTTCTTTTAGAGTGGTAAATAATTAGTGATAAATAAAATAATAGATTTAAGAGTAGTGGAGGAGAATAGGCTTGAATTGTCGTTTTTCTTTCTTTTACGTTATTAATAAATCATTTTGTATATTTGTAAATATTGCACATATCATACGTGAAATATAATCTCATTCTTTTAGAACAACACATTTCGTTTATTTTCTTGGAAAGTCCTCAATATTATCATTCATCTTATACACATGATGTACTTTCATTTACGCTTCCATTCTTTTTCTGTGTCTGTGAAAATACGAATTTGCGCAAACATGGACGGTCTATTGATCAGAGTGCTGAACTGACGTAAGGCGTTTCACCTTGGACGAAAGGGATGTTACGAGATTCGAAAAAAGAGCGAATCTCATCGTGGGAATCCGTTGAACCTTCGAGTGGGCGACCCGACACAATTTTTTTCGGACTCCGCCACTAGCCCTTTCTGTATTCTTGGGATTCCCAACTAGCCTTTCAGGGATCAATAACTCAATACCGATGCAGTCCTACAACTCCGAAATCCTATTGTACGGTTTCAATGCCGCGGCTCTCAGCCCTGGATCAGTGCTCGCATTTTTATGGTAAACTAGCGGTCACCTTCGAAATAAGCGTGGGAGTCGAAGAGTAGATCGCTTACAGAGCCCATTGGGGCTCCTCTGTTCACCCGAACGTGTTCCCAAGAGACTCCGCAGCTCAGACTCGTAAACGGGAACTATTACTCGAATTTAAAGGGATTTACAAACGGGGCTTCGGGATTTTTTAATAACAAAATACGTAGGTCGTCCTTTGGATGTTTCACGTTTGTTTAATTTTAAAATGGGATGTATTTGAGACTAGCTCTGTTATTGCTACTTTATTTAACTGAAGTCCAAATAATGGATTTTTAATTTTAACGTTTACCTCCTGGAAATTATTAGTTGTATTGTTGGTTAGTTATTTAAATATTCGAAATTTGAAATTTGGAATCGAGCTTTTAATAAAAGAGTCTTGAGAAAAAATATAGAGAGAAATAAATAATAATATTAAGTTGGTGCAAAAGGAATTGCAATTTTCCCAATGTCAACAGTTACCGTCTAAAATTTTAACAAATTCTTAAATAAATAGTGGCATTGTAAAGTTCTACGCGACTGGGATAAAGAAACTTGTTTCTCATTGAAAACAAATGTACTGATTTTAATGGTTCTAATTCTGATTAATAAAGTTTATTATAAAAAAAGATATCATAAAAGCTAAATATAAAAAACTGCTATTTCTTTTGCACCAACCTAATATTTATTCCTCTCTATATTCATCTATCTTATATTTCTCCCAATATTTATTCTTCTCAAGGACCTTTTTGAAAAATTCTCAATTTCGATCGCTGAAAGTATAAACAACAGCATACTTCCCCTTGCAAATAGAAAGAGTTTCTCGAAGGAAGAAATTATCTTGAGTATATCATGCATCCAAGGACAAAACAGGTGCACGAAGCGAAGGAGGATGCGGAAATCGATTTTCCCGTAGAATTCGACACTCGTGAAGATCGAGCGAGGATCGACACCTGCTGAAGGAGCAACTAAAAGGCAAAGGCGTCGGGCGTCCCCCGTTTTTTGCCGATCAGCGCCGTCCTCGCGATGCTTTGGATCCTTAAAGATGATACGGTCAACAAAGGGAGGCTGGAACCCGAGATGAGATTCTTTTTTCTTCGTAATAATTATTTGGTGGTTCCCACGAACGCGGGGGGCGTTTCGTACGGGCGAACGGGAGAGGAGCAGGTAGCGGAAGTCATCTGGACGAGGAGAAGAGAACGGTGAGAGCGGCTCGCTCTCGTTATATTCCTGTCTGAGAAATCAATCCCGATGGATCGTGTTACGCGGCGAGGAGTCCTCTGTCCAATGGGAGAAAATCTTCGCGGATGCTGGCGGGTATTTTTCTCAAAATTATCTCCAGCCCAAGTCCCGTGGATCTTGGAGGCATTAAAAATGATTAATACTATCTGAACGATCTTTCAAGTCTGACTTTCGTTCTTTGGGACTTCTTCAAATTTATAATAAATTTATAATTCTATAGTTGGATAGAGTTTCACAAATGTTGCAATCCTTTTGTTAATGTTTTTCTTCAGTTGCATTTTATTCCTTTTATAGTATCAGTACGTGTACGATTTTACATTAGGAATGTTTAGAAATGAATTCTCATTTGGTTCAGAATTTTATTTACTTAATCACAAGCAGGGTTTTAAGGTAACTAACGAAGTACTAAAGAAGTAATTTTTGTGACGATATTTCAGACCTGGAATATTCTTTTTCTCGTACTAATGTAATTTAATTTTTAGGATTGACTCGAACTATAATTAGTATGGAAAAAATTTAAAAGAAAACCTAATAGTGTGGTTTTCGAGGAAACCAAAGAAGAAAGCCAGGAGACTCTTCCTAACAGATATTAATCATTCCAAATTGAGCAACACGAGCATTTTCAAACTCCTTAATTTCCCACAGGAAGTGAAAACCGTTCAACAAACACTTCTGATGGAAAAAGGACAAACTTTCAAATTTCCTCCATTTAATTTAAAACGGTGAATCCTTGTTTCTTATAACAAACAATATTTTTGTAAAAATGAACGTTTATTCCTAGACTTGTAAATGGTAAAAGATCCTGTCTTGGACCCAGATTGCATCTACCCACGTCCATTCCTTTTATTATAATTCATCGACGTTGGGATAACTGTGCAAATTGGTTAAAGTCATAATCGTCAGATAAAGCGTACGCGGCAATCGTCGTAGATTGTTTCGGTGCGCCCGGTATAAAGGTCAAGAGTCGATCTTTTAATTAAACTGATAGGAAGAGCGCTTAACGGATGTTGGCTAGAAGTGTTTGATCAGGCGGTCTCCTTTTTCCTGTGGGCCGTCTTCCTCCGTGCGACATGATTTGTTTTAGACTGTAGAATCGGGACTAGCAGCGGGAGGTGGACGGGTTTTGTTTTAGTGTTTTAGATGCCTCGGCGTGGGAACGGATGGTGGAAGCCCTCTGCCAACACGTAATCTCCACTGGAGTCTCTACAATGGCACTTCAGTCCCCTGGTTTGCCAAACCAGTGTTGGGCACATTCCACTCGATCGCTTTTTTAAACGAATTTAATTTCGTTCCATTCGTTTGCCGACGGTTAACAATTCGGCGTTTCGAACTAAACAAAGACGGACGGTGTGGAAACTTCGGAAACGAGAGTTTGCTTTGAAAACTTGCGGCAGGTTGGAAGCTGTAGCAACTTCCTCGGGATGGGAATTTCTCGATTCTCTGAACTGCTCTAATGTTAATGCGGTAATTAAGGGTTCTTCGCAATTAACGAATCACTTTTTCGAGTGGACTTTTGTTTAACCCTTTCAGACTCAAATTATTATTTTTTTCTAATGTACTAATGTAATTGAATTTTTAGGGTTAACTGGGACTAAAATAAAATATAATAGTAAAATACATAGGTATGAAATTTATATATTCACACGAGAAACTTATTCTTAGTATCAATGTAGAAGGAATTATTCCTGGTTGGATACAACCCTCTTATTACACGACAGTAATTCAATTGAAATTATGAACTCATTCACTGTCAGGAAAATTTGAAACGTTAAAACTAAAATAAGTATGGAAGAAATAAAATAAAATTCTAATAGTGTAGTTTTCACTAAATTTATATTTAATATAAATATTTTTTTAAATTTTGTGTCCTCAATTGTAGACGCCAGGTCTGAAAGGATTTTAAGAAGAGTGAACGTTTAGAATTATTAAAAAACAATTTTGTACGCGACATTCAGTTAAATTTTGGAGAATATTAGAGCATAAATTCCTATTAATCCAGGGCGTTATTACTAAACTGAACTAAAGAATTTAAATTTAAATGAAAATATGTTTTAATTTCTAAATAATGTAATATTTTATTGTCGATATTAAATTTGTGCATTTATGGTACATCCTCTTAGATTTTCCCATAATTCTACTTGCCACAAATTCATAAATATCCAACAGTCTAGTCATTAAATTTACGAAACAGTATATTGATCGATGTATAGTACACAAAGCAGTCACTAAATACACAAAGACTAAAAGCAGACTTTATTATGGTACTGGCATTGCAATAGCTGAAATTACCGTTATCCAACAAGCGGCTAAAATCGTCTATAACGGTTCCGACGAAAAATACATAATTCTCATCGCCTGCGGAAGTTCAATCTATGCTACTAATGGCAAAACGAATTATGGTGACCAAATCCTATCCTAGAAGCTAGCCATGTAAGAAACGCGTAAAAAAGGCGAGACAATGACGCCTGCGCCGATCACATGGTATGTGGTCATTATCGGGAATAAAATACTCTAACAAAGTTTCTTTAGTTTCTCTAACAAAAGAAAATACAATCCAGCGCAAAGGGTAAGTAATGCTTTTATAAATGAAGTCGATTTATGAACACAAATAAAAGACTTAGCTCATTCACTGCTACGCAAAATTTCGATTTGTGATGAAATATTCCACAGGCTATCAAAACAGATTAATCTGTGCCAAGTTTTAAGTCCCTATCTCGACTGGTGGGGGAGTAAACAAGAAAAAGACGAAAATCACGCTTTTGACCAATTTCTCCCGTCCTGTTGCATGAAAACTTTTGAACAAAAATCAGAGATATTTCAGTTAGCGAGTTACATGTTCCAGAATTTTTTCAGATGTTTCGATTCAAAATCCAAGCTGCAACAAATAAAAAACGCAAAAAAACGCTGGTTTTGCATGGAAGCAATCTCAGAACTACGATTACGTAATTACAGGAAGTGTAATGTAGGTTATAGTGATGTTAAATTTGTTATTTTAAAAAGATACTCTTTTGCAATAATTCGTGAGTCAATTATTATTAATTAAACGCTTTGAAACCCATTGTGACTTTCAAGTCCACTTCTACGAAGTTCGTTTTTTAATTATTGAATGGCAGCACACGTTCTTTTTTTGGAAACTTGTTAGAGACAATTCTGTAAGATAATACAAGACCAAGATGGACGTCTACATTAAACAAAATTTTGAGAAATTCAGTAAATAAATGGTTAAGCAATAGCTGGCAGTGAATGGGTTAATAAAAAAATGAAAGTGCGAACGGTTTCTGTGAACCTCTCGAAATTTGGAATGGGACAAACGAGCTGACGAACACGAAGAGCCCATCTCAATATCCTCAATTCGTCTTGGGACTCCGATGTGACAAAAATATTCCCCGTCGAACGTTCAGCCTCCTCTGGGGCGAGAGGCTGCGCATATTCTCGGTCCGTTATCTCTCGTAAACTCGGATCACGTCACCAGATAAGACGGACACAGGTCACGTTTCAGTCGCGGGCGACAACGTGGATTCCAGCGAGCACCGTGCCGGGATCACGCGTGCAGTCGATCTCGTGCTATCGTTCGTAGGTTTGCTGATGTCGTTCCTCGTCAAGAGAATTCCCCCGGTCGGTTTACCGTGTCACGCGATTAAGAGATTAAACCCGCGCCGCGTGAGAGCATGACGTGCTATCTACGCCCGGCATGGGACCAACCCGGATCGATCGCGGGAAATCACTGTTATCGGCCACCAACGGGGACACAGACCGCTACAGGTCGAAAAGCTCGCTGTACTCACGTCTTTTTTCATCGCCTCGAGGATCAAGCTCTTCAATTCGTCCAAGCACTGATTTATCCGCGCGCGCCTCCGTTTCTCCATGATCGGCTTGTTGCTCTGCAATCAGGGAATCGTTTCACATATCGGGGAAAGTCGGGTCGCACGCGATTTGCCGTGATACGGATTCTTTTTTAACAGGCCCGTGAGAATTCCTCCTCGCGTGATTTCGAACGGAATCTTGGAAACTTTGGTATCCTTAAAGGGTTTCGAAAGTTAGATCCTCGAGAGTCCAACTCTGGTCGACTTTGTAAAATGAAAAGTTTGGAAGTTGAAATTATAAGGGTTTTTTATGAGTTTGAGGTTAGTGAGAGACTTGCATCGACCAGTTTGGATTCCGTTGGGCCCGCATAAACTTTCGAAGCTCCCGCGGATCGATGGCGGTGGCACCTGCTGGACAACCCAGCGGATGCACTCCGATAGAAAATGATCCATATTCGAAATCTATGCGTTAGTCTAACACAGGGCTTCTTAAACTATAGGTCACTATAGGTCTATTTATGTTATTGCAAAAAATGCAGTTTTGATGAAAAATAGGGTATACAATTTCTGTAACTATAATAAATACAATTTTACAACATTTTGTGCAATTTTTAATTTCATATTGTTGTACGTTTTTAAACAAATTCTGAAACTATATTTTGTCATATGTATATGTATTGTTACCTAATCAATGAATCATCACAAAATATTTACGAGTCGTGAATGAAAGAAGTTTAAGAAGCACTTTGCTTAGTATACCGAGTGACGAAGTGGAAAATGAATTTCCTCGGTCATTTCTCCTGACATTTAAATATTAGGTGACCCTATAAGTTCGTGCTGAAGAGTTTATCAATATTTAATAACAAACCACAGAGATTGTAGCAGTTTAATTTTAATTTTAAAGCGACGGTATAATGACTATGTCAGAAAGGCGAGAAAATATTGTAAAATGAGAGAGTTTATATTTTTTTATAACACTGAAGAGTATATTTCACATATCGATTTGAGCAGCAGAAGTGGCATGAACTTTTAGGATTAATATATCTCGAAACCGAACTATGATTTGTTCACGAATTTAAAAAATTTTATGTCGCCTAACTAGTACTACAGTTCTTTATTCCTACTTAAATATTACATATCTGTAGACTTAACATAGTTTTCCTCCAAGGTAGAGATAGTAATCTTACTTCTCGTGTTCTCGTAATGGAATTGGGCTAATATAAACATACTACGTAGTAACGTTTGAAATAATACCCAGACGTGACGATTTTGCCTGCAATGACTTATCAAAACCAGTGTTTACACGAGTGTTCGAGCGAGCATGAAATGTACCGAGTTGTACAACCTGCCACTATAATGTGACTATAAAATACAAATGCTACCACGAATCCTGTGGTTCTCATAACGAACTGATTCTTAATAAATAAAGATGAAAGAATTCTCACAGGCACTGTCAACGAACCGACTTCCGAGGAATAATTATAAATGATCCTAATTTTAAATTACCCTCCGCAACTCCGCCTTGGACATCCCCGACTGCGAGAGGGACTCAGGCTCGTCCTCGCTGCCTGACATCTTGTAGTTGTAATAATCCACCATTTATGCACCTTTAAAAGCACCAAGGTCGTAGGAAGCTCCAAAAACCACACAGAAAATCCTTCGTTATACGATAAATGTCTTTAGCACTGTTTTCCTCGACTACGCGTGACGTGAACTCAATCAGGGCTCGCACGCTACCGCGATCGATGGATCCATGCGAGTCCACGTGATACTACGCGTGCAGCGGTGGTGGTACTCTTCGGCAACTGTTCTGGCACCGGTATACGAGGGGGATGATCGCCGCGACCGGCGACGTCCCGCTTGGGGTGTGGAGGGTAACTGTTTGACGTTTTCGATTTCGAAGACCGCATGCCGATGCACTCGCCGCGTCTCGAGAGTGGGGTGAAGCGTGTCCTGGAGTGGGGTTTCCGGGTACCTTCGGGAGAGGGGAGGTCCTCCTGAGACCTGTTGATGTGTGGGAATTCGCGCCGTGCCCGGGACACGGCGATATAGTCGCCTCGAAATTCGAGGAGCTCCTCGGGGTACTCCTTTTTACTCTTTTATCCTCGCGCGAAGTGTGGGATTTATTTAAAAAATTATTTATATTTTCTGAAAATTACCGATCGGTTTAGAATTGTCGTTTAACGTGGGCAGTCTGAGGTACAGTCAGTCCCGTAAGTACCTTTTATGTCTGTTGAAAAAATTTGTTTAAATTAAGTAATAGCTTTGATGTCTCCAAATAAGTGTTTCATTATGAGTATGTACATAAGTAAACTTTACACTTGTATTTATTTATAATAGAACACTCGTTTGAAGACATCAAAGCTATTGTTTAATTTAGACAAATTTTTTCAACAGACATACAAGGTATATTTATGAGACTGATTGTAGGGGGTTGTTTAAGAGTTGGGTTGCTCAGGAGTTTTTTGGGGGCAGAATTGGACACTATTTGGAGACTAAATAATAAATAATGCGAAGAATACTTAGAATATTGGAGTAATTGGTTGCTTATATGAAGGGTCAGATAATAATTGATCTGAAATGCTGTTCTAGAATGACTGACTGTACATAGAATTAAGAGTTGGGATCAGTGAGAAAACTGAAAAAACTAAAAATAGTGTAGTATTACCTGTACTACATAGTATAATTAATAATCGTTTCATAATTATAATCTAACGTACGTCATCTAATTATAAAATTAATTAATTGTATTGCTTCTTGCTCTCAATATACAATATTTATTTACTTTCATTCATACGCACATTAAAAAGTTCATCGAATTCTTAATCCATATATCACTCTTCTCAGTTTCACTCAAAGGGAAAATAATGAACTTTTCCCAATTCTATGGGACCAATTGCAAAAAAATGGCCAGATATATAACAAAATAAATTCATAAAAGTGCCCAACTACTTGAGACTCGAAACTCATTCCTCACCAAATAATAAAAACGTTAGAAATAGGCCCTAGCATGCAATATCTATCTACTTCAACTTCACACCCATTCAAAAACATTCTCGAATCTCGAAACTAAACGAATTCAGTAAAAATAAATATAAGAATGCTTGGACTGAAAATTCCGCTTGAGCTCGGGCCCGTCCGTGCCCTAAATTTGCTTTCCAGGCATCGAGCTCGAGAAGAAACAGGGCCCGTGACGCAAAAAGGTTCGAGTACCGCAAAGACGATAGCGTCAGCGTGATTGCCGCGCTCGCAGGGAGCCACGCAATGGCCACGAACCGCGGCGCGGGCAAAAGCGTGCGACAGAAAACGCTCGATGGAGAAGGGCGAGCAAACCGCGCGCCGGACGTGTGTGTACGTACGTCATAAGTGTGGCTGGCGCGCGCAGGGCGACACACGAGCGCGCTCGGTGTGTGGGAATTCTCCTGAAACGTTAAATAGTGTTTACACGAGCCGGGGCCCAGCGCCGCGACGCTCCACGCCGGGCGGTTTCATCAATGAACTCTTTCTTTCACGCGCGGACCGCTGCTCCGTGACGTTTTATAAACGCAACGCCATGGGAAAGCGCGATATTGAATCGCGCACGGTTACGGTGACTGTACCGAGAACAGCGCCGATTATGTTTCATGCGTATATTTTTTTTATCTTGCGATACTTCCTCGGTGCGTGATATTTTCTGCCTTTTACCCACGATCGATCCCGCTGATGATGCAGATCTACCGCGTACTCTTCTCTATCGCTGTTTGTGCTAGGTTTACGGAGATCTCTTATTAGATTTCTGTTAGCAATGCTTTAATAAATGGGATCGATTTACTATAATTAATTCGGAGGATTGAATTTGAATTTGCAGAAAAATGAATTTGGATGTATGCTTGTCTTTTTGTATGGATACAAATCAATATAAATGGTCGGTGAAAAATATAGATGGTTCCTGTAAAATCTTGTGAAATTTAAAATGAAAATAAACGTGCTCCTTAAACCTAGTGCTAAACTGAACCAATTTTCCGAAAATAATTGGAAATGAATGGTCAGAATAAACATTTAAAATTTCAGAAATGAGTGCTACTATGCAATATTTAGTTACTTTTATTCATACATGTATTAAAAAGTTCATTAAACCAGAAAGTTATATATTACTATTTTCTTATATTTCTCTTGAAATGATTTCTTTTACTTGGTTTTCTTATTTTACTTATTGGTATCTGATTTTGTGCTTTGTGTTCGTGGAATATTTGTGAATGGTTTGTGCTTGTAAAATTAATAGACACTTGAGGTAGTTATATATTTAATAAATAGGACGAAGTAGGATGTAATTTTAGCTTATTTATATTCATAATAAAATGTCCTAAAAATATCTGACTGTATTTGGGTGTCTAAAAATATTCCTTACCAATTATAAAGAATCTTGACAATTTCATAAAACATCCTGATACACCCTGCACAGCAATTCTTGATTGAAAAAATGAAAGACGTTAGACATAATCACGAGGACATCCTAAGGAAGCATTCTTTCCTAACAAAAGACAAAAATTGGACAGAAATTTACGCTGCCAGAAATTTCCCAATTTCATTCCCATTTTCGCATTAATTTCCAGCTCATTCTTGTCTTCGTATCTGCCATCGACAGAGCAACTGTCCAGCTCTAAGGTGAAATAAATCAACGGTTCAAAAGGCCCGTTTACGTGGCTGGAAATTCGGAACGCCAGGACACGGTCCTGCGACGGTCCCTCTAAAAGTAAAAGTTTTCCGGTGCAATAATCGCGGGCCATAAAGGTTTATCTGTTTATTGCGGCTGTCCATTGCCTCTTGAAATGGGCCATAACTGATTTCGTCAACGAAACAAACGTTCGTCGTTTATTGTCTCGCCTCTTCGTGTTTGCCGTTCGTGAACGCGCTAAGATCGCCTTTATGGAGACGTTTCTCGCTTTTTTTATCGTTTTACGAATTTATTGAGAACAGGGTGTTAGTGCGCGTAAGCGTGCCAACCGTCAATCAGCGACACCCCGAGCGAATATTTTTGATATTGATTGCCATGAACCCTTGTTAAAAATAGTCCAAACTGGGACTCGATAGATATGGAAGAATCACGTGACCGGATTTTATGGGAGCAATGTAACGAGACGTTACGTAATTCGTTGCT